GTGTGCAGTAAGATATGATAATGGCAGGACAAAATGCATATATCGCATATAAACGAAAAACCTTGATCACCTTATTTTAGGCAACAACAAAAAGCTGAGAAGAGATCCAGAGAAAAACTGCACAGGAAAAGTTCGAAAGAAAAGAAGAGCTATGAGAAGACTACGAAGTTGAAGCAAGATTGGGAGCAGTGCTACTCAGAGACTCGGGAACAGATCGAACGACTCAAGCATCAGCTTGAAGATGAAGAGTTCTATAGAGAGATGGAGATGGAAAGCCGAAGGAGACAAGACCACCAAATGGAGAGCCATGAAGAAAGCTCCGAAGAGAAAAGTCCGCATCAAGAAACTAATGCAGAAAATAATCAACAAATGCTGACGTCTGGCAAAGAAGTTGTTCAGTGTGAGTTTTGCGTAAAATATTTCTGTAAGCTAATTTTCCTTGGTTTTCACACTGTAGAGTATCTACGGACCATCTCAAGCAAAGTTTAAAGTATGTTGCTTTTTTCGCTTTATGTATGTATACATATAAAAAATGAGCAGAGGCAGACTTAATCTATTATACATTACTCAACTCGTATCATCTCATTTATCAAGTACCTTTCATAATTGTGCAGCTTTTTTTACTTGATCCCGTATAATCGCATTGTTCTAGATGAACCAAGTAAAAGAAAAGAGAAGACAGACAAGGAAGAAAGGAATGATGAAAGTAAGCCTCATTTGAACGGATAGGATGTTTTAATTTTATTCGATCTTCTACGAGTATATTTTAGGCAAAAAAGTGATTATAATACCTGATCCGGTTAGGCAAGTTCGCTCAAAGAGCATGGTGGAAATAAGGAAACCAAAAACGTACACGACCTCTTTTGCATCTACATCAAAGAGGGCCGTGGTGCCAAAGCCGGTGGAAAATTTTGTGCCACAAATTACAGTGCCTCAACCCTTCAACGTATCCATAAGGTAAACTTAAATCATAATCTTATGAAAATTTATCAAAAGTTGAAC